CATGTTTTTACCACATATACATACATGTTTGATTTTGTTAATGGCTTTTCTCCATCTTTTGAAATAATTGTGTGATTTTTGTCCGTGGTACTGTTTGTCATGTGTTACATTTATTTATCTGTGTACACTGAACCATCCTTGTATCCCTTGGATGAAGCCCTCTTGTTCATAAGGTATGACCTTTCTAGGGATTGCTACCAGTATCTGGTTAAAGGTATTTGTATGTATTTTTCTTAAGGACACTGGCCTAGAGTTTCCTTTATCGTGTGTGTGTGTGTGTGTGTGTGTGTGTGTGTGTACACATGTGCATGTGTGTCAACAGGGGTTGAAACCAGGGCCTTCGAACACAGCTACTTTCCTAGAACAGTTTTGTTTTTATTTCTACATGGGACCTTACTAAGTTGCTGAGTTGCCCAGGCTGGGCTGGAGTTTGTGGGCCACTTCGCTCAGTGACCCAGCTTGCATCATAGGCAGGTTCCACCATGTCTGGCTCATGCCGTGGCCCTTTCTGGGAGGTGGAGCTTGAAGGAGGTAGACTAATTACTCTTCTGCAGGAATTTCAAGCCAGAACTTTATGCCTGCAGCACGTGGGTACAGCTGTCTGCTGCTTACCAGACTAACAGTGAAAATAAAGGGAGAAAAGCAGAGCACAAATGTTTTAAAAACTTGTTATTTGCTACAGAAGAAATATGGGGCAAGTGACTGTGGTCGTCAATTATATTAATGCCATTTAAAACAAGGCAACTACCTTGCACCAACATAATAGGAAAGATGTTTCAAAAGCATCTTAGGACTTTGCCAGACCCTACTGTCATGGGATCAATTCTGTAAACTTTTTAGAAGATTTCTCTGAGAATAAATCCCCATTATTTTACTCACAAAGGACCACCTAGGAATTATCCCACCACAATTTGTTGGCCAAACTCCACAGTCCAGGATCTCAGAGCCTGCTATAGATATGACCCAGGGGGCTGGCTACTGCCACCAGAGGTGACAAACCTTGGCATCATCCATGTGGTGCCTGATTTCTAGGCATGGAGAATGCAAGAGCTGTGGGCTCCCAGGGGCTTCCACCCAGTTTTCAAAGGAAGGCCTGACCGGTCAGGTATGTAGAAGGGTCCGAATCCCTGCAGGCAGCCCCTGGGAAGCTGATGCATGAAATTACATGAGTAAAGCTGAAGCTACAATGGAGAGCGCAAGAAGTTACAGAAACGCCAGGAATTTAGAGCACCAGCCATGGAAGGCTGCAGGCAGCAAGCAGAACCAGCCCAAGAGAGAACCCACAGAAGAACGGCAGGCCACTGCCTCAGAATTCGTGTCACACAGCATGTGCTGAAGCATCCAGATGCAGAATTACAGAAATGAATGCTTTATATCCTGTGGGATTTCAGTCTTAATGAGGACCTATCGTTCCCTTCTATGCCTCCATTCCTTCTTTGGGGAATGGGAATGCCCAAGAGCTTCATGTGCTCCATTGTGACACTCTAAAAAGTTGATTCGAACATAGGATACTATATACACCTGTGGACTAAGCTACGGGTAAGTTCATAGCCAGATGTGCTGTTAAGAGGTGACGCCTGGTAGGAAGAGGCAGCTCACTGGGGAATGACCCGGAAAGCTGACGTGTCCAGTGCAGCTCTCGAAGATCCTGGAGGGAAGGACAGTGAGAGGATGGAGAAATAAAGATAAGAGACAATATACAAAAGCTGAGGTCAGTGGAGCCCTCTCTCCAGATCAGAGGAAAAGCAGCTGCTTGCCCACTGCAGTACGTTTATTTATACAAACATGGCATGTTGCTGGCAGTGACATCCTTCTGCCTAGCAACCTGTTCTTGGATTATGGGGGCACATGGCATGGTTTTCTTTTAATTGGAGTAGCTTTTTCATGGGGCTTGCCTCAGGGGCTCTTTGTTGTTGGACCACTTGCCTCACCCCTGTACATGTGTGATCGATTTCTGGCTTTAGCCACTCTCCACAGAGAGTTATAGCTTTCTTTCCCCACTCCTCTCTTTCTTCCTGGCCACTATGATGTGAGCAGATTTCTCCAACTAGATCCTTCCATCAGCCCTTTATGTATTGGGTGAATCTTCTAAAATTCCTGAGCTGAGGTCAAGCTCTTCTCTTTAAGTTTCAGGAGTTGGTTACTGTGTCTCAGGAATCAGAATGTGGCTACGACATCCAAGGCCTGTAACTGTCCAGCATGAAGTAAGTCCCCAGTTTGGGAACATTTACAGATATGAACTGACCTCTGGAAGCCACAGGAGGTGGGGATTGGGGATTCACAGGAGGAAATACAGCTTTGAAGGCAGGCCTATGAAGCCTACTTTTTTCTCTTTAGTCTCTCTCTCTCTCTTTCTCTCTCTCTCTCTCTCTCTCTCTCTCTCTCTCTCTCTCTCTCCCCCCCCCATCTCTATCTCCCTCTTCTCCTCTTTCTCCTTTCCTCATGGAAAGCAGTTTGCTTTCACTAAACCCTTGCACTGTCACATTTCTGACCCACCAGCTGACCACTGATGAAAATTTTGGAAACGATGAGCCAGAACTTTCTCCAGGTTGTTATTTTGAGGTATTGTGTCACAGTGACAGAAACCTGACTCTCATATTCTCACACCTTCACGCCTTCTGTCTCCAGCCTGTGAGGATCAAAGACACGTGGATGGTGCATGCTCTCTTGGAATACATTAATCATCCAAAGAACCATGGGCCAGACATCTGCTCACCCAACAGGAAATCAGTACAAGCTTAGTGTTCCACCAAAACTGATGTGGTTAGGGTTTTACTATGGAATAAATGTAATACAGGACACATAATTTATAGGATTATTTTATAATATTCACCGATAGACTTAAATGAAAAACAGTGCAGGAAATCCGTCCACATGAGACACCCAAAGAATCCACTGGGGGCCTGGATCCCATAGCAATGTACTGCATGAGTCTGGCTGGAGACCTAGAACCCATGGCAGTGTCCTCCATGAGTCCATCTGAAGGCCTAGAGCCCGTGATAATATCTCATGGAAGTCCAGATCTAGGATCTGCGCTGGGAAGACCCAGAGGGCAGTGATGGAAGCCAGAAAGGCTAAGCCAGGGGAGCGAAGGATCTGTGTCAGTAAACTGAAAGATCTGTCCTGGGGCCAGGGAGGGATGCTCCAGGTAAGGGCCAGAGCTCCCAAAGCGTACTGCAGCCAACTTCCGCTGGAGCAAGGACCCAAAGCCCTCCAACCATGAGAGCAGCTGAGTTCCTACCAGGACAGCCAGCATGGCAAGCCTCCCTAAGAGAAGCAACAGAGCACCGTCTCTACCTCCACTTCTCTTTTTGTGCTGTTGGCAACAAACTTCAGATGGGCCATCCACACACGTCACAAGCATCGCGATGCTAAGTTCTTCTGGGTGTTACAAGTTGACCACTGCTTAACCGACCATTGAAACCAATCAGAAACAAAGGTGTTGAGTGGAATCCAGAGGATACTGTAACTGCTGAGTCCACATGCCACTGCTGCCTGATACAGTCCAAAGCCCTCCATGGGCCGATCTTCATCA